GACCATTGCTATGTCTGGGGCTCGCACTGCTTTGTGTCAGCGATGCCTGGCTTCCGCGGGCAGTCTGCCAAGCGACGGGTCCTTCTGGTCCGTCCATCCTCTTCGTGTACGGCCATCGCGTCGACGGCGGTTCAGCAGCAGCGACGAAGACCTTGCGCGAGTGTGCACATCACCCGAGGATGAAAGACGAGAATTACGGACAGACTGTAGACGAAGCAAACTGAATAGAAATCTGACCGTCTGCAGAGCGTGCTCCCGCAGTGTAAACACCACATTACGCAAGTGGCGCACCTTTAACTATATATATAAGCCATGGACACACATCTTTAGAAACCTACTCTTGGGCTTTTTCCCTGTGTTGTAAAACATGCGTCGGTATCCTTGCGTATTTGAGGACATGCGAACCGATATATCCAAGCACGGAAGGGTTACGGAATTCGGCGGTTTAGTGTACATGCTACGAACAAGAAATACACAATACACGTCGGATTGTCCATCCATACGAGTTTCGGTGGTGACTTGTGCCCACCAGTATGCGTTCCACATACTAGAAATCCGTAATTATAAAGTCCCAGATAAAGAAGGTGTGATTTGTGACATGATCGTTCCATGACTTCGGGCGGAAAAAAGAAGGGACAAAACACGAAGTAATCCTTTCCCCAAAAGGCATTGCAACATGAGCCTGAGAGCATCCCTTGGCCACGTTCGTTGACAGACTTCTCCACTGAGGGTGTAAACGACGCTTCGACACCCTTCTTGAGAAAATCACGCATTTTGCACCAAAGTTTAAAAAACGACATAAAAAAATCACGTGTGTGTGTGTGTGTTTGTGCTGCATGATCCTGGGCTGCAAATGCGTCGTAATTTATGGACAAACTTGGTATCGGTGTATCTTCCAGCCGGGCATGTTACGTAATACGTTGGCACGAGACTTGGCAGTGTCACTTGACAGACGTTGGGTCACGGCAATGTATCGGGTTTGATCTCGGCTCTCTGGGAGCCGAGAGGAGATTACTTTCAAGGTCTCGGGTGGTTAGCGCCGTCCGTCGTACGAACAATTTCACAGTTATAGGCCGCGTGCATCACGCCAACAAAACTATGCCGTAGATCGTTGTCCTCTTTCTTTATTTTTTTCTTTCTCCCGTCCTGACAGCTATGTTTTAATTGTTATACGTAACACATCGTTAAGCGGCGAAATCATCCGACTGTCGGAAGACAGAACCGGAAGAACACGCGAAAAAAGTGCGAGGAGTAGATGCGCTCGAGGCAGCGAGGGGGCGTGAAGATACCAAATATGAAGTAAAGCGAAGTGATAAAGAGAGGCCTTGGTTCTTGCCTCACTCAGCGTCCTTGAAGTGTTGTTAGAGGACTGTTACGGCGACTCTCAAAACTCGAGAGAGGAGCAGGAAGGCGGTCGAGTTTAGGAGGGATGCGCGAATCGCCCATTATTTAATTGTTTATATTGCCTACAAAGTAGTTCAGAACGACGGCCATGACCAACTGTATAGTATATAACCAGCTGAAGCGTAGAGACAGCGGGGTAATATATGCAGCGAAAAATAGCTGCTTCGAATTGCATGTCCGATTCGTGTATATAGAGCGGGGAAAATTAATTCCAAGCTGAGCTCCGCGGCTGGTATACTGGGGTTCCTTCCTGCTGTTTCGATAGTACATCGATGAATACTAGGCAAACCAACTCGTGATTGTAGCCTTGGAAATTTAAAAACGAACAATGGACGTGAACTGTGTTTTAATGTCAGTCATTATGATCGCATTGAATGAGGGGTACGACAGGCAAGTAATTAGAATTACGGAAAGAGAATAAAGCACCCCCCCCCCCCCCCCCCCCAAAACCCGAAAACGCGCGCTCCTAAAAAAAAAAAAAATAAATAAAAGGAAAGAAAGAACAAAGAGGCGGACGTCGAGATGCTTCAATCCGAAAATGCTGGAAAAAAAAAATCCTGGCTTTACTAACTGAGAAGAATAACCACTGGCAAGCAAATAAGGTTTGGTGATTGGAGGCGTAAAATGAACTGTGAAACATTTCATCTTTTGTTTGTGAAAACAAAGAAACAATTGGCGTCATTACACTAAGGAGCAAGGATAAAACATTTTAGGAGGCGGAGGATACTATCAGCCTCGGGAAATCGTCACCCTTCGGAAGTCTGGCAGTAGATGTGGGTGTGTCCCGAAGTTGGACAACACCATTATATTATCCGAAGCGTTCTTCATAACGAAGTGCGTTGAGGGCACGTGTGTCAGCGCTCCATCGAAAGCCCTGTTTAGCTCAGACGTGACGTTTTTAAAAGCTTTCGAAAAGTAAACAGCAGAAAGATAAGATTGGTTTGATGAGGTCGCATTTCTGTCATCTTGATTTCAAGGTGTGTGTATATATATATAGGTTTTTCCTTGAGTAAACTTCAGTTTCAAGTAGCGCTCTGTGCTGTTGGTCTCTTTCACTTATCAGCTGTATTTTTTTTTAGCATTTTACCTTCTGAACTATGAGTGAACAAACACATCGCACTTTCGAGGGCAGAGCTGGATTTTCTAGCGCCGGAGCTGTCATAGCATGCCTCTACTTAACATCTGCCTTTTTGTCGTTTCTCCTTTTCTTGTCTGCCTTTTTGTCCTTCCTTCTTTTCTTTGTTGTCTTCATCTTCAATTTTTCTCCCCGTTGCTCCAGGGGAATTCCCAGTGATGAATATTAGTAAATGTCGTTGCTTTTTGAAATAATGGTATATATATGTGTTCATAGCCGTATATTCTTTCTTCTTGTGTTGTTTACCAACGCGCTCCCCGTATCTACAAATATAAGTAATTCCTTGTTGTTTTTCCCGGAAGTTATAAAGCAATTTCCAATGTCAAATTTATAAAAAAAAAATATATATTTAGGTTTTTATGAAATTACGCGGAACATTCTTCACTAATTTTTGTCGTGACACTGTAACGCCCGAAAGTAAAAGTCGGTGAACACCAATTTCTACTGTGTAACCCGAGTTTGAGCTAGAATTGTTGTTTGGGGTTGCAGTAATCGGCGGGAAAAATGTCCGCCAAAATAATTCAAAATTTGCGACAATAACAAAAAAAAAAGTAATAAAGTAGACGTAAACCACTTAAGAGTATATTCTTGCCTTCAATCGTCGACCGATGTTTGGGGTAAGGAAATCTGCTTTCCGGTTTTAGCAATTCTTTATTTGCGCTACCGGCGGACGGCGGATGTTAATGCACGATTTTCGGCTAAAACCGAAAGGTCTACGGCTCAAGCACGAACATCGCGAACAGTCGGCCATAAAAACTCGTATAACTTACCGTGGCGATTTCTCAGTCCGTACCAAAGAAATACACACGATGACATCCCGGCAGTTCACAATCTGTACTGCACTGGCTAAATTTCTCACCTACAGCTGGGAGACAGGTCGCCCGTTGAGGAAGGCTAAGTTCTAGACTCTATAAACATACACACACCCCAATATATTTTTTTTTTCGTTCACGATCTATAATCATTTTTTTTTTTTTTTTTTTGCAAAAGCACGTTATGATTGCATTGATTTAAAATATTATTCTAGTTAAAAAAGAAAACGGTATGCGCGGTTTTTTGCGTTCAAACGCCCGAGGAAAAACATTTTAAAACTTCTTCAACTGCAGATGCAGTTGAAGAAGTTTTATATAACTTGAAGAAGTTATATTTTAATAAGTTTTATGCAGAATTCCTGAGGTGGGATGCGTGAGTGTGGGGGGGGGGGGGGGGGTGTATTATAGGCTCGTGTCCTTTGAGTAGGGAATTCTAGGCCGGTGTTGTGAAGAAAATTGGAGGGGCATATAAATCACTGCCGAAGGGCTTACTTGTGGGTTCTTCCCTGGGATGCCGCTTAGAGCAGCGTGTAATAAAAACGAGCAATGAAAAGATAAAGGCACATATATCTTTCGGCGGCACCGCTTTCTCGCATCACGAGTGCGGTGCAGTGGTCTACCAGCTTGGAGTCTCATTCGATCCCCCGCTGGCGTACAGGCCGGACGAAACGCAATAGCAACATCTGGATACTACGCTGGGTCGGATCACTTTCGAGTCCGTGAAGGGGAAGTCTGCATTTTGGGAGGACGGTTGCCAACATCTTTGGACTCTGGTCTACTGGGTCAACGGCATTTCAAGGGCTGGACTCATTTTTGCACGATTTGTAGTCAGGTTTTCCGTACTAGCACTTGGCATTCAGGCCCCCGCTTTCTGGAACTCTCTGCCAGCTAATGCTCGCCGAGCCCCTGACGTGGCCGAGTTTAAGGACTTGGTGCGGAACCTGGACCAGAACGTGTGAATTGTAAATTGTATAGCTCGGCTATATGATCAATGTTTAGCCAATAAACACCTTGAACCTTGTATATGTATTCGCAACAAGTAGATTTGGCGTTTTGTTTTCTCGTCCACAAAAAAGGTATTTTCATTCTTAGGACGTGGCGCATAAGCGAAGAATATGTCTAGCGATGAATATCTTTTCAGCAGACATCTTTTTTTCTTTCAATGAGAAATAACTTAAGTAAAACGCAAATATAACTCAATTTTTTTTTTTTTTTAATTTTTACGGTTTTTGACCCACAGACATAATGATCAGTCTGCATTTCTGCGATCTATTTAATGTTAACTTCATGCATGACGGGTTGAGACGTCCTTAGAAGAGTACGCTCCGTTTCTGCGCAACTTGGCAAACGGCGAACCTACAGCCCTCTAGCCGGTGCATTATCACGTGTTGCTTTGATCGACTTACTGGGGCAGTAGCATTCGCCGTTTGCTAGTTATGCGACAACGAAAAATTTACTTAACTCGCCGTGGAATCCTCTTGTCATAGGCATCTACGAGACGATGTGCAACAAATGTCTTGTGATCAGGAACCATATTTGTCCATGAAACCAATTGCCTTTTTTTTATATTTCTTTGTTCCAAGTGTGTGTGTGTGCATCACAGTGATAGATACCGTAATGCGACATCCTCATTTGTTTTCCCCTTGCAGAAAAAGGGGGCAGGATGAAGGGTTTCGTCCTTTTGCTGCTTGTCTCAGTGCTGCTTGTCGCAGTGATCGCAGAAGCCAAGCGGGTGAGATCAACGATCGGAAATTTTGTGTTGACTACATTGATAAAAATCTCAATCTCAAAATTAAAAGTTGGTGTCAGAGTTGGTAGTTACGTGTGGTTATGTTTTATCGATTTGACAAGTATCACCTCTGGTAGTACAGGAACTTTACAGCGATATGACACGCAAGTGTCCCCCAAAAATATATTCTAGCACTGACACCCAAATATCTGCCAGCTCTTTGTAGTCCATGAATATTTAAGAACTTTCTGAAGAAGCACCGGACGTCAAGGGGCTATCTGTGGCTTCACCACAACACACGGAGTTTTGTCGAGTGCCACTATCCAAATGTAGGCAGTGGCTTAAAGTACATAGGACCACGACGACAATAAAATCGCCTAGAGTTTCTTTTTAATACAGTTGATGGTAATTTGCGACTGTCTGAACCAAGTCGGCATTTTACGAAGCTAGATCTACAAGAAACAAACACGATCTAACAAAGCTTTTAGTCGAGGAGCACTGGCGCAGCACCCCTGTGACGTCACATCGCGGAGGAGCGGTTCATTGATTGTACCGGGTCGTACCGCAGGACTCCTGTGACGTCACGTCGCAGCTGGATGGATGGATGGATGGTAATGGCTATGCCCTTTGTAACGGGCGGCAGCTTGCGCCACCTAGCCTAACGTCACTGATCCATCCCTCTAGCAAACAGTTGTCGTAGGCCTCCCCGCGATATTTATAAAACTACAAACAATATCGAAAAGAAATTATTCATTGTAATTCAGAAACACTGATTTAGCTAAAAAGAGCCATAATCCAAAATTAAAAAAAAAAAAAGATTGTAGTTGGTAGTTTTTTGTCGAGTTGTTGGATTGTTTGATATAGTTGTTTCATTTATGTATTCATCAATTGTTTGACATATTTATTTTTTTTTTGCTGTGATTGTCGGCTTACTGTTTTGGCGTTTACGTTGAATGCTGTCAGTATCGACAAACAAAATAAATAACTATTGCATTTCGTTTAAAGCATCACGGCAAACATGCGAAGAAGGCAACCAAGAAACCAAAGGAGGAGCTTGACATGGTAGCAGAGGATGAGAAGAACATCATTGTGAAAGATAAGGAGGCTCAGCTGGAAGCAGAGAGTAAGTGAAATAAAACAACAAGCGTTTACACTCCGGAACAAGCTACTTACAACCCTGGAGCTTGAAGGAGTCAGCTTAAGTAATTAAAATTCACTGCAGTCCATCGTTCAATCAGCCAGTTAAGCTGTTGGAGGTAACACGCGCGAAGTAGGGGAGCATTTTTTTTAAAGCAGCGTCCCCTTTTCGATGAACGGCATTTCTCTAAACGAAGGCTCCGTTTTCTCTAAAACCGAGCTTCGACAAAACGTGCTCGTTCTCTAAAACGTGTTTCGAAAGGAAACTTATGCCGTTTCCTCTCGAGAAGCTCCTCTTCTGTGGGTGGAGGTTTGTTGCGAAGCTCCATCCCATCTGACGCGACGAGTGCCTCAAGATCGGGTTTTATAAACACTTTACGACGCAAATCATTGAAGTCACCGCGACTACAGCGCGCCACTTCGAAATCGGTTTTGAGTGATTCAGTGATGGAAGCGGCATTTGACCTTTCGTAGCAGGTTTTCTAGCAGGCAAAATATTGGTTTTTAGCAGCCACTGACGATTTTGTAGCAGATGCCAACATCTGTTAGCCCATTACTTGAGAATGAAAAAGTGATTGCTACGATAGTGATCAAAAGCTTCTCTTTGATACTCGAGCATATTTCTTATTACCGTTTGTGATAAGATAATATATATTAAAAGGGACACAGTATTCTTAAATAATGTTCTAGTCAAAGTAGATTTGATTTACAATGGGTATTAAAAATGCTTAAAATTTTCATCATAGCACAACACTTTATAGGGATAAATCCTTTCTTCCCTTTTCATTTTACACTCGGTAGTTTCTCTAACCTGTAAATATAATTTCTGTAAAATGCCAGCAAGAAACAGCATGTCCGCTAACACGTCTCCCAATAAAATGCGCCCTGTAAGATTACTGAACCTACCAAACTCAAGACTAACATCATAAACTGCAAAAACAACCACAAAAAAAAAAAAGAAAAAAAAGAGCAAATCCTACACTTGTGTTTTAAAGGTGAAACTGCTCTTTAGCAGTCTAGGAACTAGAGTTAGGTCAAAGTTCGCAGCTCTTTTGATCGACAGCTGCACGGGAACTAGTGACTACCATATTTATTCATATATATACAGATTTGTGTCTTCCCTCTCTCTCTCTGCTCAGTTTTCTTTTTTTTTTTAAAGTTAGAAATTAAAATCTGAGCATAATATGCGTGCTTATCGCGCTAAGCCAGGCGCTCCTTCAGGTCATTCGCTTCTCCTAGCACTCCGGTGCAAAGCTGTGAAGCTCGACGCGCGCACGCTGATGAGAGGCGGTGAAGGTTGACCGAGAGGCGCAAGTGCCACTGTACTCTGCAGCCTCGCAATAAAGGCACGTGGCAGACATGGTAAACCAGCGATCCTATCAGAAGTACAAGACAATGGTTCTGTTTTATCACAGTAGCCGCCATCGGCAATCCTACTCGTTTTCAAAGTTTTCTCAGGACCCTTAGTTCCCGACATCGCCGACATCGTCTGGAAACTTAGACGCTGTTGGCAATCAACCAGCCAGCGCATCAAGCGGCCAGAGCGGTTGATGCCCAGCATCAACGGCTTCGGCCGGTGGATTTGCAGCATCAAAGCGCGACATCGTGGCAATCGGCATCTCCTTGTACTTGTACTTTCGTCGGCTAAACCGATCAAGTGCAGCGAATGTCCCGTGACTCGCGCTTTTAGCATGTGTGTTGGCGGTTGTATGTGTTCGAGTCTTCGACTGTGCTTAGACCTAATACGAAACAAACAATACGGTGAGTAGAGACCCTGTGAAATTCATATTTGTAATCTTTTTTTTCCTTCTACTCCGAATATTCAACCAATATGCCCTAGCAGCACAGATGTCCCATACACATCCGCAGGACATCCCTGGAACGTCGGGACATCCTGACACTATCCGGGGGACCATGTGTGCTGCTTAAGATAATAACAAAATTTAGACTGTTTCTTTTTTTTTCGCTTTAAGCCTATTTTGGCGCAGGTCTGGCGCAATTCTAAGCAAAAATGGCATTTTGGCGCAAGATGTAGCTGACTTTCAATCGTGGCTCAATTTGGCGCAAACAGCGTAGCACTTCCATCACTGGCAATTGCTTCATAGACTGGGTGCGAATGTGGAGTGCTACTACCGCTCCCTGTACGCGCGGCGCGGGTTTAGCTCCTAGCGCCACAGGCAATCAATCGGGTGCGAGACCAGACACTCCGTGTAAGCGCGCCGCGGGTTTAGGTCCTTCTTTTGTCACGGGGCTGCAGATGCATCGCTAGAGGTAGCTGAAGAATGCTTCGCATTAAAAATAAACTCGCAGTCTCAGGGCTGAATCTCGGCTCTTCGTGTATGCACAGGCGTCCTCAAGGATCCCTGCAGCAAGGTCAGATGTGGTCCAGGTCGCGAGTGTGTCATCAACGACGACATGACGGCTACATGCGAGTGTGTCGGCACCTGCCAGCCCGAGACGGACCCCAGGAGGAAGGCAAGTCAATCATTCCTATGGTGCTTTGTGCACATGCATTGAAAGACGGAATGACATCTGGATTTGAACACACTTGCACCTTGGATGTAAGCACTTGTGATGGAGCTGCCATTGAATGGCTCCTATAAAACCATCAACCAGATTCTACCACAATGTAAAATGACTGTATGCCTCTCAGGAAATGCCTAAAATGCTGTGCGTGATATATGAAATACTGGCTCGATAGAGTGACGCTGACGAAACTGGTGAACTCGCTTTCTGTGCTCAGGTCTGCAGCAACCACAACCAGACATGGGATAGTGACTGCGAGCTCTACAAGATGCGCTGCATGTGCGAGGACGAGAAGGAAGGCTGCAAGGGAGAAAAATATGAGCACGTCCACGTCGACTACTATGGAGCTTGCAGAGGCAAGTTATGCAAAACCATAACTGCCTGTTTAATCCTGCTTTTTGTTGCAACCTCGTCAGTGGCGTATTCAGGGGGGAGGCTTATACCCGAAATCCAGTCGACCCTATAATATGCACATAAATTTTGACCCCTTTCCCCCTTTCCGCACTCCAAGCCATAAACATTTCAGCCACCTCAGCCCCCCCTCCCCCCACCCCCCGAAAAATTCCCAGCTACACCACTGAACCTTATTTATCAAGGCCCTCATACTCACTGTAGAAATAGTACAGTTTTTATGACAACAGACATAGATGGGAACCAGGACCGGTTTGCTAATGTCTTAGTTAAGACTCTGTGAAAAAAAAGCCTGCCACGTCTGGGCCCTGCGAGCGCTCAAGACTCGACTTTACGTGTCAGTCCGCTCGTGCGGTAGCTTTGGCAATGCTTCCTTTTACATATATAGTGTTATCCAACACTGTTTCTAGTAAGCCGACCCAGGTATTGATGTTGCCTTCGTTTTATATCATAGCATTTAGTTTCGCACCATAAAAACCAATAAATATTTACAGAGCACTTAAATAGGAGTTGAAAAACCTTTCTCTCGCTTAATCTTTGACAAAATAAAGGGGGACAAGACATTTTTAAATTACTCCCTCCGAAAGGGACTAAACAAACTGAGCCGAATTCTCCCATGAGTGTGAAGCTGTGCACTGCCGGACTGGATGCCCGAATAAACCTTTCAATGATTCTTCCTTTCTTTCTTCTTTAACCAGAGCTTCCAGAGTGCTTGTCGCACGAGATGGAGGACTTCCCCCGGCGCATGCGCGAGTGGCTCTTCAACGTGATGCAAGACCTTGCCCGGAGGCACGAGCTGCACGACCCTTACCAGAAGCTCGAGGAGGAGGCCGAGAACTCCCAGAGCCGCCAGTGGGTCAACGCCGTCATCTGGAAGTTCTGCGAGCTGGACAGCCACCCCCACGACCGGTGAGTCCGACGCACAGACCAGACACGTGCACGGAGGTACTTGCGTGTGAATCTCCATTGGAGCTGGCAATGGGCAATCTTAACGTGTGTAAAGTTGTGACTAAGAGAACACACCGGTGCCGTCTTCCAGTAGCCATGGAACTCTTCCGGCCTGCATACGACTAAACCGAAGGTTGTGCAGTACTTGCGAGGTGAAGTCTACGCACTATTTCTAAGGGATGGCCACCTATTACGCCGTAAAAAGTATTTCAAGGCCATGCTGACAGTATGATGCATCGGTCATGCTCACGTGCAAATGTGTGAACTAGCCTTTATTTCTTGCAGTAGGGGTGGGCTAGCAAACATTCAATTAAAGAAAAAAAAAAAAACAGCAGTACAAACTATGCATACTATATTCAGCACGTTTGATGCATGTGTCAAATAATATGGTACTATTCGCAATTCACCTCAAGTTCATATTGTTACGAGAACTTTCTCAAGTAGTCTGGTAGCATAATTTAAGAGGATGCTAATACAGCACCAAACTGCACCAAAGCGCCTAGCCTACTACATCCTTCTACGTTTTACTCGACCGTGAGGAATTTGTGCCAATGTTGCAACAAGAGCTAAGCTCGATTTTAATGGATACTACATTGACAGTTGGTCGGTAGGCCTGTGTGAATTTTTACAACTTTCAGTTACAAATTCAGATAATGCGCCGTTTGATTCCACCTTCATGTGGAACAGTGACGGCACTCAGGTTTTTCAATATTTCTTATGTTTTGGGCAAATTAATCAGCTCTGTTGAAAGCTTTTTCTTACGGGGCACTGGTGTACTATGAAGAAGCGACACTCGCTCAGGGGATTAAGGCAAACATGTCAGGACTACTTTTTGGTGCAGAAAGCACTTTTTACTATGGCAGTGGTGGTGAGGTGGCCCCTGCCAATAGCAAACATATGGTAAAATGGAATATAGCAGATAACAACATTTCTGCGTTTTCAGGGCTGTGTCAAGGCACGAACTGTTCCCTCTTCGTGCTCCCCTCCTCTCAATGGAACACTGCATCGCGCCCTTCCTGAACAACTGTGACCAGAATGATGACCACACCATCACCCTCAAGGAATGGGGAGAGTGCCTTGGTCTTGAAGAGAGTAAGCATTCAACTATACTCATATATATAGTCTAAAAAAAAACATACTTTGAGTTATTAAATGCTTTGATGATTAACTAGAACTATGGTGGATGGGTGGATGCCAGTGGCTTCACCCTTTCTATCAGGCAGTAGCTTGCGCTACCTAATTTAGTTTACATTTCTGCCCCTGAAATTTTACCCAAAATTAGTCTCCCGTTAAACCATTTAACCTATCGACTTTGTGTGGAGTTTTGCACTTCCCCGGACCATTTCCATAAACTTTAAGTACATTGTATTATAAGTACTACTTCGAGTAATTTGAAAAAAACTTGTACTTCACTTGAAGTGCATTCTTTGAATGAACACTTTTAGCTTACTTAAAGTATTTTTCCTGCTGGGGAAGGAGTTGTACTTTTCTCAGAAAGTCTGAGAAAAGTACAACTCCAGGTTTCAAAGCAATGCATTTTTTAAAATTTGGTCTTGTTAACTTTGTATAGCAAAATAAGGTTTTGTCAACTCTGAAGAAATACTGGGAAGGATATTCTACTCTCACCAGAAACACGAGCAGATGACGATTCACTCCATTTGTACTGGGGTTGGCTTTCCTGCAACATTTCAAACTCTTACTAGGTACTTCTTGCTCGGTCAGTGCAGGCGAGGAGGTTAAAAATATAAGTAATGACACTCCTCCACGAGAGGATTGCTTGCAAAAGCTATGAGGCTGACATCATGCTCTTTCCTATGTGCAAGCGGCGCCAAATTCAGGAGTCAGAGGAAGAGAGGGGAGAATGGGGAAGGCTCGCAGAGTTCACGAAAGGCATGGGGCAAGCGCAATGATCAGGGCAGTGTCTTCTTCCGCTCGGTGAAATTAAGTTCTTTCAAGGACCACGCGCTCGTGACCTTGGCTTTCCCAGCACTATACACTATTTCTGAGGTCAAGTATTAAGAGTTCACCAACCTCTAACAAAAAAAAATAGTGTAGTATCGTCATGTGAAAACTTGCTATCACATCTTTTGAGACATCTGGTCATTTTTCTGAGTGGAGTAATGGCGGCTATAAGACCGACACTGATAAGTGCCTTATAAGTTAATTGTGTTAAATATAGTTTGTCACCTAGGGCAAGACGATGTATACTCTCTGGCCACCTGGCTTCATCCAATATTTGCCACCATATCCGAAAATAACTGATACGCCCCCAATTTCCCCTGGGCAATGTATACCAGTCTATACATAAAACAACAACAAAAAACTGTCAATAGGAATGAAAGGGCATCATGAAAGATTGTGTTGAAAAGTACTTGTTTACTTTGAAAGTACATTGTATTTATAGTAGTTTACTTCTAGTACATTATGTTCGGTGTACTTGCTGCTTTACTTGCAGTACACAACCTCTTATTTACTTTGTACTTTACTGTCATACTTTTCGGATGTACTTTACTAAACACTGATCACTACATATACCTGAGTACTGCAATTACATCAGAAGCAGCAAACAAACTTATGCTAATGAAATGCCCAGTGGGGTTGACGGAATGCTTTGGACGCAGAACAGAACCACTATATGGGAGGGAACTTTAAAGATAATTTTATGCCCAAGAGTGACAAGGATTCAGTTTGGGCTGTTCAGATTGAAATTATTTTGAAATAACTTTAAACCAATGGGTGAGCCACAAAGGTACGCAAAGAAAAAAGAATTACTGCTTTAGATTGCTCGGTTGAGGTGTATGGGCTTAAAACATCAAGTTTAGCTGTTCGAACTCGAAGGGTTCGATAACTTTGAAAATAGCAACTTCATCAAATATTGTTTAGGGTTTTAGGGCCTGGTAAAAAACTCCTGCACTTGGCCAAAAAAAAAAATAATAAAAAACACAAGAAAAATATTTAACTTTTAAATAAAAGTGCACTGACAATACCAAGCACCTAAATAAAACTCAAAATTCTGATTACTCCCAAGTTCAAACCTTGGGCATCTGTCAAGGCATTTTATTTTTTAGCCTAAACACAACAAAAAGCTATTGCAATGAACTAGAACAGCATTAAAAAAATCTGGCAATTATGACATACCAAACCACAGTAACAAGTACCTACAAATTCTGGACGTCATAACCAATGATTCCAGCATGTAAACTGCCTTGAAACATCCCTTGAAACGTGGTACACGGATGCACGCACTAGTACACAAACTGACTGGTGGTTCTTGCTCCGTTGCAGGTGAAATCAAAGACAGGTGTTCCCAGATCACGGTTTGAGGCCTGGACCAGTCCAGCGCAGAAGCTGCATCAGTGCCTTTAAGGTCACCACGCATTTCACAACTTTACACTGCCATTGTTTGAATTCTGTTTATCGATGTTGTTTGCCAGATAGAGTTGAAGAAGCTGTTTCTGCGCTCGTTTTGACACTTGTCATAAACGTCTTTTACCTTGCGCGTGCACTGCCTTTAGCAGGACCTTTGTAACGCTTTTTGCAGTTAATAAAGGTACTTAAAAGAGAAGGAATGGCCCCTGTGTCAAGAAAAGAGCAATGCTGTTGATGATCATTCTGATATCTTGTGTCCTCTCCCCCCAAGAAAAGGTGTTATGTAAAGTGTGTGCCTTTCCAACTGTGGGCTGCCACAAATGCTGCCACAAATGCTGATGCTGCCTGTTGTGTGGCCGGTGGCACGGTCAAACTGCTCTGTGCTCGCAGTTTCAGCAGTGCGAAGGCAATGTCAGCCACAAGAAGACTGCCAAGAAAACTTTTGATTTGGGATTCTTTTGCACACTTTCAGCCAGAGCCTTGCACATCGAGCTGAGAACTAGCTGGGCATTACTTCAAAACAAATGTGTGCAATCTCAGAGCTGTCTATTTAGGCAGGACGTCTGCAGTGTTTTATAAACACTGATATCTGCATATCCTAGCTTTCACCAGTAGTGTGGTTGCGAAAACCTATAGTTCCACAAGCTCTTCTAGTGAAAGAGCAGTTTCAAATGAATGGCAGCCGTCACTTTGTTTCTATTTTATTAGAAAGCCATCTTGCATCCGAGGAAAATATATTTGTTCCACATGTACATAACATAAGCAATGACATCGAGCTTAGGATTGTTCTCAACTTCTTACAAAACGTGACTAGACACAACACATATTATATACAATGCACAAGAAAATGCAACTTTCTATTTGTTGCTCATACAAACCCTTGACAAAATGTACACCTACGTAATGATAGCAAAACAAACGTGAAGTATGACCAGAGAAACAATACCCAAGCTCAGAAATCTTCCAGGCACCATACAACCTCTCTCAAATCATAGATGCTTGATAATGATACCTCCTAATATGTGTCTAGGCAAGAAATCAATGACATAACAAATACTTTCATAATGAAAACTGAAATCCCTCGTGAACACATGCCAGTCACTTCAATTCGGTCCTCAGACCCTAGAAGTAAACATTTTGACATTTAATATTTTCCTTCGTCATCTGATTTATGATATGTATGCATGTAGTGTAGTACAAGCTAGCATATATACATGCACACAACCTTTCTTCAATACAGTTCTTATACAGAGAGGCATGGCAACTACAGGCCAATTGTTCAAGCAGCAAACAGTTACACATGATGCAAGCTTAAAAGAAATACAGTAAAACTTTTAATTTTTGTGGACTTCCAATTTTCCTGAATCGCTAAAATTAAGGGGTGTTTGAAACTTTTGCCTTGTAGCTCAAGGTTTGTTGGAAATGGCAAATGTTGGGGGCCATGAAGAATGGCCCAAAAAATGAAATATTTAACATCAGCTTTCCAAATTCATTACAACTAAAAATAAGAGGATTTTTGTTTTTAAAAGTTTGAAGTGTTTTAAATGTTAATAACTACTTTCTGGGAAATACATTTGTTATCAGTTGTTGCTTTGCAACTACAAGTGAAGAAGGTCTCACACACCCATGGTCTCGGACCTGTTTGCTTTCCAATCAACTCTCACACACTTCATTCTTGGTTGCAATCTCATAGGTGTTATGATAGTAGTCGGCATGATAGTCCAATTCTGTTTTTCCTTTGAAGCATTTGTCCTGTCTTCACTTCGCAGCCTTTACCCGCACAGTACTTTCCTTCAATCATTTATGGCACCAAAGTTTCAGTAGTTGTTAAGTACCTAGACCAAATTGATTCTAAAGTTGGAGGTTAGCCTTTGTTAAGTGGCATAAACTGCCGAGGCGTGGGTCATACAGACGAAGCCCACAAGGTCAAGGTATGCAACAGAATAGTGTTTGCCCATGCAATGCCAAAGTTCTAAGTATGCACTAGCTTTCTTCAAAGCAGCAAACAATGCTATTCATAATCTTTTCTAAAATGTCCCTCAAGGTACTGCCCATCCCCTCTAAGGAAGCATGACAAGTTGGTCCCTTTCTGTCTGTCATAATCTGATCACAGCAGCAAACAGATATCAGTGCAGATCTCGAGCCTTTCTCAAACAGTCTTGACATCCACACTTCAACCTTACTGAAAAAGGCAGCACGCCAAGTCGGTCAGTTCGACAAAACTCTGCACCCAATTTCAAAGAAATCCCAGGGCATAAGATGTACCCCATTTTGGGAGATCCTCTTTGATCCACTTTTTTTTTTCCTGCTTGCACCTTGCACGAGCTCAGAATGAACGCAACACAAAACGAGGACAATCAGTAATGAGAACCAGAACACCGTTCTACACCACAATCCCACGAACACCACATCGACACACAAGTCTCTACGTACGTAAGGTAACATCTCTGCGGATGCTCCATTTCCTAGAGGTGCAATTCTCACGAGTTGAGACCCTAGGTGCATTACCCGTCGGCATATACAGACTTGAGTGCAGCTATCGCATAATCGCTGCTCTCTGGGAAACCTTAGTTTCGGTTCGTGAGCCTGCCTTTCGACATTGGGTTCGAAATAGCTAGTGTTCCTTTCACTAGTCTTTGCTTGCGAGAAAAGAACTATCTAGAGGTGCCTTTTATGCGGAGCAGTTTATTGCTAAGGATGCTGTGATAGTTATCTGATCCTACTGCTGTTCAAGTGAACACAATGTTGGTAAAGACAATTGTTTTGCCATCGGAATGGCTTCTCAAGCAGTAGGCAGAACAAACAGTGCCCTAAACACTTTCTTCGTACAGTGAGCCTAAACTTCAGACTAGCAGTCTCGACAAAGTGAAACAGTGCTCTAAAATATTGGTGGGAACACTGGGGTGCCCTGCACTTAATAAGATGATAAGACCTTATCAGAACTTAAAGGGGCACTGACAGGTCAAAATCATTTTTTTTTTTTATTATCCCAAACGATTGAAAACGATGCCTGGACATTACCCACAAAATTCGAAACTCGAGAACTCACTATTTGTGAAGTAAAAAAACAATTTCCCAAAGCCGAACTTGAAGTTCCCGTGCGATCTGCGCCAGTACAGTGATGTCAAAGATTAAGTCGTCCTGCCAACTCGAGTTTCTCTCCCACTTCCGAACCACCTAGTGCTTTCGCAATTGCACTAAAAATTGTTTTACGAATGCTGTTATTAAATATAAAAATGTCGCTTACACTTCTAAATTTCATAATTTTTTTACGTCACAAATAAAAAGAAAAAAAGAGGTGGGAAGAGGGAGTAAAAAACTTAAAAAAAAATATGTGCACATAGGAAAATATATTTTTTTTTTTTGCATTATGGCATTTTTTCTGTCTATGACTACAACTTGCATCGTTTTAGACAACAACAAAAAAGATGACCTTTGGAGTGTCAGTGCCCCTCTAAAAGTTCTTGCCTTGCATCAAAGACCACATTCCATGGATGGGAGATACTTTCTTGGTAACTTTGGAACTGCTTTCAGCACAAGTTAAAACAAGCACCACTATTCTGTGGGACTCTCCTTCCCTCGTCACGTCACGTCACCTCCCTTCTTCTTCCCCCCCCCCCCCCCCTCACTCCCATTTTTTTGCTCCCAAAAATAGAGCACAGCACCATACCAAGACCATAGGGAAGCCCTCTGAAATAAGAAGCAACTAGCACTCTCTAATTCTTGCAGCTGATCCCATTGTGATTTGCTAACATAGAGGCCTATGAAGGCCAACACTTGCATCGCCATAAAGAACTCGAAATTGAATTTGGAACCTCAATGTAAGCTACTTGTGCCATTAGAACATTGCAAGCATTCAACTGCAGTCCTATTTGTGATTTGGTTTGAAGTTGAATACAATTTTTATAATCACCATAAAGAAGGCGTGTCTAATGTTATGGATGCTTTGAAATTTTCTTGTATCTTTGTACAATGACAGGCTGTAAAGCTGCCAGCTTGTGAAAGACATATGTGTAGGACACTTTGATCTCTTCCTGAAACGTGTCTCACTACACGCTGAAGACGTGTCACAATTCCTTAATAGACGCACAAAGTGTAAAGTAACACAAGGTCTCTGAAAATACTGGACCAGAAGGATTGGCAGCAACACTGACGAAGAATACAGAAAGCAAGTAGGGAAATAGGTTTGTAAACTTTCCCTCCCAAAACTTTCTCAGAGCAGCACACAACTACAGACACAGACAGGACAAGAAGCGCAGGGTAATGCCCAGCCTCCAACACATGCTCGCTGCCTTCCCTTGTGCTTTGGCCATGTTTGCATGCGCCAAGCTCATGAAACGCCAAAGTGTTATTGAAGGTAAGAAGCTTGCACTGCGGGCAGGAAGATTGAAAGACCTCCTGCCGCTCTTGTCCTCTCAGTGCTCTGTGGAAAGAGTTGATGTTTTGTTTACAGTGAAGCCTCCTTTGCTTGGGCACCTGCAGAACCATTCTAAGTTGACCGAGTAGGTCTGCATTAAGATCGGAGAGTATTTACACTGCTTCAAGATGGCATCGAGGCTTTGTCAGCTATTTTTGTTTGCCTCTACCCCCGTGGGAAAAAAAAAAAAAAAACTTGTTGGGTGAGCTTGACAGAAGTAAAAGCTTGTTTACGGTATCGGGTAGAGAACCAGCGCAAGTATATTTATCTATGAATCCGACGGTTCAAGTCGAGAGCAGACTTTGAAAATGTCACAACATTGAAAATGTGTTTAAAACATGACCAAATGGCCAATGAGCCTTTCATGCACATGTTGAAGTTCTATTTGCTTCATCAGAAGATGACCAGCCGATGCAAGTTAATCTGTTACTGTAGCCTAAGATCGGAATAGAAAGTTATTTCAGCAAAAAATGATCTACTTTGCTTTCGCATTGCTTTTCTGCAAGAAAACGATGAAAAATACCTGGATTGCATGTTCGTGCTAATTATGTATTTGCACTCTTTACATTGGCTGAACTGGATAGAAAGAGACAGCTGTGAGTTTCAAGAGAATACACAAGAATAATTTTCAAAGATTCACATTGAGTCTTGCTGGTCAACTGGAAACTAAACAGCGCGCATTTATTTGCACGCTGCTTCGTGGCATTTCCTCTGAAGTGTAGCTGTGTGCAAAGGTGCTAATTTCACTCAGCCACAGAATACCCATACAAGTTCCTTTAGAAGAAAACAAAAACCATCTTTGATGAAGGAAAAAAAAAAAGGAGGAACAAATTTAGCTGTTCAATGTAACCAAGGAACCAGACCTGTTCAGCGAAGGAGATCATTATCCATGTCCAAACAACGCCAAAGTCTGGAGGTCTCGCCGTACAAACCACGGCACTTACAACGAAAGAGTCACTTTCTGTTTGTGCTGTGCCCCCTAGCACACCATCATGGCACCAACTGGAACGTAAGATTGCCTTCCTTTTGCACTCAAATTGAGCTCTGACACAAAGTAATCAACTCCACGTTCTAAAAAGAACCACACGTTAAACACCTCAAATGGAGGCTCAGATGTGCTCGTACCCTCGTTGATGTGAAGCGGAGCACGAGAGCTCTGTCTGAGGAAACCAAACACGCCACAAACCACGTAAACCCTTTCCGTCGCCTGGTTCCCTCCCCCAGAAGGAGCCTAGGACAAACTTCTCAACCAGCATGGTGCTTTGAGACAGGTCAGGCTGGCCTAAGCCACGCACCTTTCTTCGGCATATGCGGTTTGCTGATTCGGTCATCTGACGACTCCAACGGGTTCCCGGAGTGCCTCCGCAGTCATCTGTTCGATTTCGGAGATGAGCTGTTCTGTCTCCATGTCGAACCCACTCATTTGGACACTGCGAGGGAGGCGCCGAATTAGTAACTGCTTCGCAGCGACTGTTGATGGCATCAGAAACTAAATGTTGCAAGAAGTGTTTAAATCAAGCATAGCTAGGTTAGACAAGTGAGATGCAAGTTGATCTGATAGCAGAAACTTAGCTAACATATAGACAGGTTCAAGTCACCACAAAGGCAGTCAGTCACGTGTTACTGAATTACAAGATGTTGAACGTTTACAAAAATGCAGCAAAAAGTATGCTAAAAGCTTTTCATTTCAAACAAAAATGAAATGTGATGCACATAAACTAAAAACATTATACGGTGAAGTTTGGTTCACTTCAAGGTTCCAAGTTATATATATTCCCGTACGCTTCAATCAGGAACTTCCCTTTTGATATGAGCACTCGGAAGGGAATATCGTCGAGAAATTGTCCCCGTCAAAAGCTGCAACTTGGATTTTACTTGTGACATTGGACTGCACGCCCTCAATTTCAACAATCCGTTATATGTGGTGATGTGTGTCGTGTATTATGTGCGTGTTTGCCGTGCATAGCTAACATGACCTATTGAGCCCAAACAGTGGATGCAACCGGACATACTGGGAGGGAAGAGCGGACATACGTACAGATCATTAACTAGTGCAGAACCACATCGACCCAATGCCCAATGAAACGGTTGAACACTACAAATTCCATCACCGGAAGCAGCTGGAATTCGAATCTATCGCAGACTATGAGCTGCGCTCAAACAGCTTTCACTGCAATTCAACCTCAGCATTTCCCTCAACGACCGACTTGAGACAAGATCATTGATGGCATTAAGGATGGAAACATTCTCGAAAAGTTGCTAGCGAAATCGATGCTGCCGTTCAAGGCGGCGGTGGATCTTGCTACTTTGGTGGAGGTAGCCATGAAAGATGCGAAGGAAATAAGGAGCGAGACCAAGAAGACCCAACAAGATGTGAATTACTTGTTGCGAGGGCAGAAATACAAGACGTCACTTCCGCAAAAGGCAAGCGAGAGAAAAGAAAAATTGTGGTGGCTTAGCTCGGCTATGACAGGACATATGTAGCGTGAGCTTATGCGCACAAAATGAGAGGCGCTATTACGCGGCTCCGGTGCTGCGTCAGACTTGGCTACTGTGCAATGGAGGTGCACAGCTGGGCACGCGGCGGTGCCAGTGCGTCTGCCGTGGCTATGACGTCACTCCTCTGGAATGCACAGACCCGCGAGGCGGACGTGGCGGCGGTTCCGGCGCACCAGCTGAGCGCTGTGTGACGTCACTGCTCCTCGCGCATGCGCAGCACGAAGCACGGCTCTTTACGCGAGCCACGCGAAACTGCTCAACCTCGGCCAGTGTAGCTCACGCTACAAAATCTCGCACAAAAAAGACCCCATGTCACCGTTGTGGAAAAATGAATCACGACCCTGAAAACTGCTTTGCAAGGAACAAGACTTGTAAAATGTAGGGAAGGACAGGACACTTCCAAATGGCTTGCTGTGACAGAAAACGAGATCAACAAGACTAAAGAAGAAAGGATAAACCAAACTTCACCAACCACTTTACCACACAGAACTCGGCAGACGAAACTCCATTTTATTTCATTGACTCAAGCTACCCGAAACCCATCACAGTAACTGCGGAGATTCGCAACAAACCTCTTCAGATGAATACTGACACAGGCTCACCCGTGACTGTGATGAACCTGGAGACGTTTCGAGAAATTCTTCCAGATATCCAGTTGAAACCTTCGGGAATAACGCTGAAGCCATACACAGGCAAGCCCGTCGTCCCAGAGGGAATGGTTCAAGTGGAGATGCAACACAATGGGCAAGTCAAGCGTGATGAAAGCCAAGTGGTGAAGAATGGGGGACCTCACATACTGGGAAGGGCATAGCTTCACAATTTTCAAGTGAACTAACTGGGAGGAAGTACACAACGTGCGTGCAGAGATCTTAACTCTCGCAAATGTGCTCCGAGAAACACAATTCCATCTTTGAAGGTTGGGGAGAACTGAAGGACTACGCCGTAAAAATCTGCGTGAATGAAGATGCTCAACGAAAGTTTCTCAGACCGAGGTCAGTTCTATACGCACTTCGAAAAAAAGATTGAGGAGAAGATGGATCGTCTTGAGAAAGAGCACATAATCACTCCTCTGATGAGGAGTGAGCGGGCGACTCCAATCGTTCCAGTGATGAAGGCAAATGGACAAGTGCGCATATGCGGGGACTACAAGGTTACACTCAACCCAGCCTTGAAGCCAGATAGGTACCCACTACCAAAGACTGAAGGTCTCTTTGTGATGATTGCCAATGGGGAGAAGTTCACCAAGCTGGAATGCAAACAAGCCTACTTCCAGATCGCCTTAGCGGAAGAATTAAGAAATCTCACAGTGATCAACACACACCAAGGGCTCTATCAGGTGAACAAAGTGCCATTTGGAATAACCCCAGCATGAGCTACCTTCCAACACGTCATCGAAGAACTCGTTGGGAACTCGCCGTACACAGGTGCATTTCAGGATGACATCATGGTAATGGGAAAGAACAATCAACATCACCTGCAGAACCTGGACATTGTACTGCACGAACTCAAGGAAAGTGGCCTTTCCTTGTGAAAGCAAAAATGCTCCTTCATGCACGACTACATACTGTACCTAGGACATGTCGTAGACAAGCAAGGGATCCACCCAAATCCCAAGAACGTGGATGTAATTCTGCAAGCGACGACGCCCCCCAAAAAAACTCAAAAGATACTTTGAGCATTTCTGAACTGCTGAACTACTATGGAAAGTTAATCAGAACGCAGCTGACATCCTACATCCGCTAAATGAACTGCTGTGAAAAGATAAAAGGTGGGAATGGTCGAAATGATGCCAGGGAGGATTCAACGAAGAGAAGAAGCAACTCACCAAGCAGAGTCTGCTAGTGCACTATGACCCTGCACTTCCTCTGGAACTGCACTGTGGTGCATCCAGGGTGTCTAGCAAATCATTACTTTGAAATTCCCTGACTTTTTCAGGCTTTCCCTGACAATTTGAGGTGAAATTCCCTGACAATTTCAGGTGGAATTCCCTGACCACTGTAGAGGTGGTTAAATATATAAGACCATTACAGCATAAGGCAGTGAGCATTGAGCACTCTGAGGATCATTTTGCACGGGCTTAATCCAACTTGCATATTTTGAAATATTCGGGTTTGTCCAGACCGAATTAAGCGAGCCCTTTCTTGCCGCTGACATTGTGAACACAACGCTCAACCGCACGTTCATAACCGAAGGTATGGTGTACTAGAAGACTGGGCAGTGTAGCGAGCGCCGGCGGAAAGGGGGCTCTTTCAGCGATGACCGGATCGGTGGCCGCGAGAGGGCGCAACGTGTAGTAGGCGTGCTGCCGGAGTGCGGAGCGCAGGCAGCGGTAGCGCTTGGCTGGCTTGGCGTTCCGCACGAGTTCGATTGTTTCGTATTGTTTGGCTAACTCTTTACGGTATTCTTTATTTCTGCTGTTTCACATATTATTTATCTCACTAATTTGTTGCCAAATGCTTTGCCCGAGACGTGCGTCCTCGGGCAGGATGCCACAGTACACATCCCGACAGTGCTAGCGCGATCAAGACATTGGCGCTTTCTCGGATTTACTTCGAAAGAGTATTTGAGGACAAACTTTTATCACCTGCATTATAGACCCGAATGAGCTCTTTCCCCAGCAATTAGAACTTTGCTGAAATCCTTTGGTTTCTCATAGAAAAACCGGCGATCGCTTGTTCGCGCTAACAAAGTTGCGTTCTGAATAGGCGGGAAATCCATGGATCCCCCAGGGAAACGTTCGGAAAGTCTCTTGAAAGGGACGTCCCAAACGTGTGTAATCCCCTGGATAACGTAGGATAAGTGATGGCATGATACCTAAACAAATGTGTGCTTTTGTGACCCTATAATTTCGCTGTCACTGTAGTTGTGATCAATGAATTCCGTGGTTTAAGCGCACTACCCTAATGAATTGTTTCAACGTTTGGGAAAACAAAATGGGGCTTACAAAACGGATTATATCGTCTACTTCCGCAGGCTGCATGGAGGTGGCACAGTCGACTCTCGCAACTACTTCCTCGGGCTTTCGAAGGAATTTCCAGCAATAGCCTTTATCATGTTTGCTGTTACTACGTAGGGTCTTCAAACAGGACTGTGTGAATACTTAGAAAAATGTATCCACTCACCAGCTCTGGTAGTAACCACGATGGATAAATTCTTATTTATCCATTGAGCACCAGCTATATTGATATGTGTGGGCACCGGGGCACACAGATAAATTTTTAATTATACACTGGGCGCCAGCGCACAGATGAGATTAATGAGGTACACCCAAGGATTCCGGGGGTCATGGTACTTCCTTTTCCCAAGAGCTCGGGAGAGGGGGGCTCCCGAGCTCCCCCGTAGTCGGCGCCTGTGGCGTTTTGTACCTCTACATTCTCCAACGTGAGGTCATGATCTTGATGAGCTTCGACATCTTCAGGATAAATGACTCAGTATCTTCCGCTGGGCCATAACACCCTTCAATTTTCTTGCGGTAAAAAAAAAAAAAAAAAAAAAAAAAAAAAAAAAGGCCTTTTAGCACCTTTTCATTGAAGAGACGGAGTGCTGGGCCAACCCTCATCTTTTTAAAGCTGTTAGGAAAAAAAAAAATAATTTGCTGATGTGAGGCCATAACCTTTAATGTCACATTTTCACAGTTACTTCTCCAAGCCTTTCTAATGCAGTCGCCGTGCACAGGACGCCTCGGTGTGTCCAAACCAGTGTCTATAAAACAGATTTAGCAGATACTTTAGAGTGCAAAAAGTCTGAAAAAAAAAATGTAGAGGACGACTGTCACGACTGCCTGGTTTACATGAAGCAGAGTCTCCCTTTCACTCCTTTTAATGTTGCGGGACGACGACTGACGCCGATCGAACTCGAGAGGGGCACGAAAAAGGGAACGGGCTTCTTTGCAGGACCGGTAGCCACTGTTGCAACCCGGCACGGGCCCCAG